GTTGGGAGCAAGGCAGTGAAACACGGCATGCCTGTTCTATGCACATCATGCCTCAAAATGCATGGAACATAGCCTCCTTAGTGTGATACTGTGCATTTGCCGATAAACTCTCTCTCAGGCATGCTTACTGGTGAACACCCAGTGCCTTATCCTCGCCCCCCCATTATTTCCTCCTGCAGTGTAGCGCACAAAAAAAAGGCAGGCCGTTCTTCGCTGTGTGCTCCTTGTTGTGGCACAGAGGTGAGGTAGACATGCCCTGGGAGTCCGGTAAGTAACAGGAAAGGGTTAGCTCTGCTTCCCATCTGAGTCGCCCCCATTGGCTTAGGGTGTGAGTGTACTAAATGTAACAGGCTCTTTTGAAACTATAGAATCAAGCAATACTCTAGTTCTGGCTTCCTGGGGCAGGATGAGAGAGTCAAGCTTCACCTTATATGGGCTTTTCATTAGGAGGAAGGCAGGCCTAGTGCAACATAGATGCTTCCTGTTTAACTAAAATATGCAGTGCTCACTCAGCCCTACAAAGCTGTTTATGCTCACACATATTGCAGTGTCCTCCAAAACTTGCCCTGTCTTCATCCCTTACTGGAAGCTGGGGCCTTGTATGTTTGAAAGAGCTACCATCTAATGTAGATGCTGCATCTGAGTACCTGATGAACTCTAAATTTATCACAGTAAGCACATGTGTACACTACGTATATCCACAAGCATGCAGATGAACAGGTATTTGTATGTGTGCATGCGCGCGCACGCGCACACACACACACACACACACACACTCCAGAAAGCATGCACACAGTACTGATCTGTGCATATATACGTGTGCATACATTTTGTTAGTATGCTTCTGTAAAAATGATGGAAGGTATGACTATGCAAGCACAAATCATGACAAAAATATTTTTTGTAATAAAATTAAAATCCATTATAATAGGTGTTTGACTTTTAGTGTATGATTTGGTTTTTTTCTGGTTCTAAGATGGCAACCCCCCTCCCAAAAGGAGTATTTCCAGGAAACAAGGGGAGGGACTGCTGGTGGCAAAGGTCAGGAGTTACGGGTGGGACTTCAGGTCCCAAGAGGGTGACCAGGGGGTGGGGCAACTGTCAAGGGGTGGAGTTACCCATGCAGCCCTCGACAGTTCACCAAAACTCGTTAAGTGGCCCTCCACCTAAAATAATTGTCCACCCCTGATCTAGACTCTTCTCTCCATGGTATGTCTTGATACTTCTTTTTCTTTTTTTTACAGGGGACCTTGTGGCACTCAAGAAAGAGAACTTTGTATTAAAGGAAGGAGTTGAATACAGAGTTAAGATCCACTTCAAAGTAAGTTTGTTTTCCCTCACAGATTGTTGATTTCCCTTGCTTCAGTAAGAAAGTATGTTCAGGAGTGGAGCGGCTGGACATGCCATCGGTGCTGGGTACAGTCACGAGCAGCCTGTCAGATAACTAAAGCTGAACAAAATGTCTTCAGTGAGCCTCTGACCCATGTTAAACATGCCTCATGTTGGGTATCATTATAACTTGGACCTGGTGCACCAAAGAGTTTTCCTGCATTGTCTTACATCCTCCAAAATAAGCTGTTTTGCCAAAAAAAAAGAAAAACAACCCATGAAAAACAAAGCAAAAATTGAAAATGGGCCCTGTTCAAAGGAAAAGGTGTCATTTGGTGCTGAAATGGTCATATTGACTGGCTTTTATGTAAAACATAGCTGATTTTGGCAGAAAATCACTATCTGAGGGATGTTAAATCACCTGGAATGGAACACTGAAAACCCTAATGGGAAGGCACGTGGAAGAGTTTTCCACTAGTTCACACAACTCTACTGACCCAGTCCTAGACATAGCTATGTTCCAGAGTCACATCTAGGCCTTTTTTATACTAAGAAACATGCCCTTCAATCCTTTTATACAGGAATGGCAGTTATCTTAATTCCTTTGTTCCCATTGCTGGTAAAGATCTGCATCACTTTAGGAGCAGCATGCTCACTCCTCGGGGTGTGGCAGGAGCCCTCTATGTGCTTTTCAGTTTTTAGTAACATTTCAGTAAGAAAGTGTGTTAAGGAGTGGAGAAGAAGGTAATGCCATCAAGCTGTGACACTACATGGGAATACTGAGGAAAAATTACTAGGACACTGTCTACGGCAGCTGACTACATACCTAAACCATCTATCTACCACCCTCTGCAGATGAGGTTGTCATCCCTATAGAGACTGTAGAAAAGGAATGAGCTCAGCTGGTCTGGCCTTCACATTCCCTGTCTCTTTGTGCTGAATGGATGACTCTACCCAGCTGCCTAGGAATGATTTTACTCTGCTAACATAGGAATTTTCAACTGTGTGCCTTAGGCATAGGACATAGGATGACTCCACCCAGGATGACTCTGCCCATATAACGTAGGATGACTACTCATCTAGCATAGGAATTTTCAACTGTGAGACTTAGGCTTCTCTTTCATTCAGCCATTCCCTCTTTAGTCCATCCTGAGAGACTCATTAACACACCTCAGCATATGGGGAGCTTGGAGGAGGAGAAAAGAAACCCAAAATACAAATCACATTAGACAGTCATAAATATCTAGGTTGTGAGGGACTCCATTTGTCTGCCCCTGAGAAATGTCATGCCTATGTCTGCTCCATGCTATACCTGAAGGCCTGTCACACCATGTCCATCAAAGTGGGAACAGGGACAGGAGCAGTCTGTGTATGATTGAAGGGTGGAAAGCAGTGAGAGTGAACCAGATCCGCCTCTTTTGACTCATTCCTGATGCTTTTCTCTTGCAGGTGAATAGGGACATTGTGTCTGGATTGAAATATGTACAGCACACCTACCGAACAGGCGTGAAAGGTGAGCGAGAGAGAGGATACCCTTCCCTCCCACACATACCATTTACCCACACCAGCTCCCATTCCTGCCCATGTCTTCTCCCATCTTATATAGTGATACCCCAACTGAAAGCGCCCCTTTCAGAGGTTCTCAGCCTACACTGAGTCTTTCACATACTGGTTTAGTCTGCTATGTAGGGCGCAGTATAGTCTAGATCTAAATCTAGTGATTTTCAATCAGTGTACCACAGCACCCCGAGGTGCCGTGGGTGCTTTTCAAGGGTGCCACAGGGTGCTATGCAAACAGCTGCATGATTCATAAAGTAAACCCAGAGATTTTAAATAGGAATCCACAGTATTGAAAACATTCTGACCTGCCATGGTCTTTCTGAGTTCTTTGCAACAGAAGAATTGCTCTATTATTTTTCTGTAGTCAAAGAGAATTGGCATTTTCCATGGGGTGCCTTGAGTCTAACAAGAGGTTAGGTTGAGAACCACTGGTGTAGATATACTTATAAGAAGGGCAAATTAGCCTGCATGTGCATCCATGCTTCTGTGGCTAGATTATTTCTGCCAGCTGATTTACAGCTAGCTGGGATATCTATGCCCTGTGATGCTTACACATACCCATAGACTTTCTTTTAGACAGCACTCACCATGGAGATTTCCACTGTATGCTGAGTTCTC